GCTATAGGGCGCGTGTGCTCACCAGACAGACAGAGAGAGACATAGAGACAGAAAGCGAGAAATCACCCCCCCAAGGGGGATGGTCACGCCGCAATCCCTTCTCCATTCTCCTCTCGGGATCTTGGGCACGCACGCACACGCACCCGGCGTGAGTTCCAGGACACGAACCGCGTTCGACTATGTGGGAGTCCACCGACATAGCCATTACGCTAACTGCTGGTTCCCGCACCAACTATTTCTAAATACCACTGTAAATTAGAACCATATTGGAGCTTTTAAAGCTCCCATTGCCCAGGTCGGACCCTGTAGATCGGAATGTCTGTAGGTGAGAAGCAGGCAACAGTATTTTTTAAACTCCCAGGTGCTTCCTATGAATTGTAGAGTCTGGGGACCTCTGGCCTATCCCCCATCCTGGTCAAGTGGTCTGTTGAGGTTTTGTGTGGCCCTCTCTGGCAGGAAGTCAGAGTGATGCAAAAGAGGAGAGAGGAACAGAAACCCACTCACCAACCTCCCCCTACCACCACCAGTGCTGAAGAGATTAGTAGAGTACTCAGGAGTCCAGATGTGGCCTCAGACAAGTCAAATGAGTCCCAGAAGACTTAAGAGTAAATTGGGAAAAAGAAAACCTACTTCTGGTTTGAGCATTCACGGGACCATCAATAAATAACTGCGGTTTTGATTACACACCCCTTTCCCAGGAAGTGAATTTTTCAGCTGCCAGAACTGTGAAGCTGTGTCTGGGTGCTCATCTGGGCTGGACCTCTTGGCTCCTGGGGACGAGGACAAGCCCTATAAATGCCAACTCTGTCGGTCTGCCTTCCGCTACAAGGGCAATCTGGCCAGTCACCGGACAGTGCACACAGGTAGGGGAGAGGGCCCTGGCAGTCCTGCCCATAGCTGAGCTAGGGCAAAGTCTGTGACCTCCCTTCCTGCCTGCCTCCAGGGGAAAAGCCCTACCACTGCTCCATCTGCGGGGCCCGTTTTAACCGGCCGGCTAACCTGAAAACGCACAGCCGCATCCATTCCGGAGAGAAGCCCTATAAGTGTGAAACGTGCGGCTCGCGCTTCGTCCAGGTACAGAGCCAACCTCCCAAGGGCTTCAAAAGCGAATTTGCAAGAGGGCGGGGCCGCCCAGTGGGGAGGGTTCCATCCCGCCCAGAGGCGTGGTCTGAAGTCTCGGCCTTCCAGGTAGCACACCTGCGCGCCCACGTGCTGATCCACACTGGGGAGAAACCTTATCCTTGCCCTACCTGCGGGACCCGCTTCCGCCACCTACAGACCCTCAAGAGCCATGTTCGCATCCACACGGGAGAGAAGCCTTACCACGTGGGTACTGGACTGGCCTGTCCCAGTGCTTTAGAACTACCTGTCCTTTACTGAGATTAGTGGGTTTTGCTGTCCCTAAATCGCTTGGAAATGGGCGGTGGTGGAGAAGAGTCCGAGTGAATTAGGGTAGGAGCCTGGGATGGGGATGGGCGCTATTTACCTGGAGAGGGGCTAACTAACCGGTGGGAGAACCTTTGTTAAATTAAATAAGGCCAGGCTATCTCCTTGGTCGCCCAAAGAGCTAACCTGTGGAGAGCAGACCAGTCCCTCTCACCCAACACCGAAAAGGTGGGGTGGTTGTGGAGGTGGGGGAGGATCTGACCTGCTGTCCTCCCACAGTGCGACCCCTGCGGCTTGCATTTCCGGCACAAGAGTCAACTGCGGCTGCATCTGCGCCAGAAACACGGAGCTGCTACCAACACCAAAGTGCACTACCACATTCTGGCGGGGCCCTAGCTGATGGGCTCAGACCCTACCGCTTCTCTGGGGGCCGGCAAAGCTGCAGGCTCAGGTCTTTCTTCTTATCAGGCTTGGGCATCAGGGTGTGCAAGGCCACTCTAATGTCAGAAACCCTTACCCCTTTAATTCCTTGCTGGGAAGAGCAGGGGTGGCAGATCCCAGCTAGATCTGCCTCCGTTTTGCTGGTCAAAACCTCTTCCCCACAATCCAGATTGTTTCTGAGGAGAGAGCTAGCTAGGAGCTGGGAAGGAGAGAAATCAGAGGCCTGGTTTCTTTAAGAGAACAGCCCTGAGGCCCCATCTCAGTGTATCTGTAAATATAATTTATTGAGGCCTTTGGGTGGCACCAGGGCCTTTATACTATTGCATTTCCCACTTCCCCCTTCCACAAGTGAGCTCAAAAGTGACCTGATGCACAGAAGGTAAGGTCACAACTCTGCTGGCAGAGATGAACACTCAGCTCTTCCTCAGCCTGAGTGTTTTGTACTGTTGTCATACTAGTATCTTTAGAATTGTCCTTTCTTTTGTGTGCTTGTTGGTTTGTCTGAATCTGCCTCTCCAGTTCTAGGTCTGGAATCTTTATTGGTTCTAGGGCAGCTCTGGGAACAAGTGAGATGTGGGGTCAGGAACCCTCTCTGGTATTCTGGATGTTGTAGGTTCTCCAGCAAGCTGGAACTGGATAGAGGCTTTTTCTTCAAAGGTGATGGGAACCTTTTTGGCGAGCCGAAAATGGAGGTAATTAAATGCCTCCTGGCTCTGGATTCAGCATCATTCTAAGCAAAAACTGGTTGTCTTTCCTGCAAGATGGTCCCATTAATCTGGTCACTGAGTTGGCTCCAGTGTTTCCATTTCTCATGTGGGGCTTGAGCTGAGTCCACAGCCTTCCCACTAGGGCTTGTTCTTAGCACCGAGTTAATCCCTCTGTCGGGGAGAGATCTGAAAATCTTTATCAACGGTGATGTGACATTTTCTGATGCCACCCAGTATCTAGGAAGGTTATGACCAGGGGGAGAATTACATCTTTATTGCAGAAGTATCTGGGTTTGAATGCCCATTGAGGTTCTTTCTACTGAGATGAGCCCCTTCTTTTAATGGGTTTTTGGACATCTTCTGGCAAGTGTCCAGATTCCAGTAACTTCTTTGCCTCTAGAGGTCACAGGTGCTTAGAAGCTTTACTTACCTTAGAGAAGCTGGGTCTGTGACCCAGTCTTCCCGTCACTGCATTTCTGTCTGGAGCCAGTGAATGTGCTAGAAACTTCTACAGGAAAAGAAAAGGGGCTGAGTTCCGTTCTGGGATTGCTGTAGTTTGGGATTATGATTGGGATTCTTGTTGTGATTAGAGATTTAAAACGCTGATTGGCTGATGGGCCAACAGTCCCTCTAGCTGATCAAGTTTCCAGGTAGGATTAAGAGATCGGTTGAGGGGCACAGTTTTCTGGTGTAGGCCAAGTAGGTAGAAGGTTAGGAATGGGGTTCCCTCCCAGCTGGGTGGAGTATCTGAAATGCTAGATGATACTCTGAAGCCTTAAATTAATGTCCTGCCCCTCGTTGCCCTGGGGCCTATTTGATTATGGGACATGGGTGGAGGGTAAGAAGCACTTTTGAATGGTGGGGTGGAACTTCCTCAAGATAAGTCAGTCCTAGTAGCTGTCACTTGGGGACTACTGAGAAAGCCACTGTTCTCCCTCTTTCCTTCTTACACTCCATTGCAGAATTGAAGGAGGAGGGAGGGAAAGTAGAGGAGAAATGTGAGAAGCAACTACGATTTCTATTTAGCGGATGGGATGGGCAGGTGGAGAGTGCCTGGGAATGGCGATGTTAGATCTTGCAAGATCAGATCCTTGGAATAAAGAAGCCTCTCTGTGCTGCCTGTTGTGTCCTGGGTTCTTGTCCGGGTGAGGGATCTAGAGACTGGGATAGAGGGTTTTTCCCTCCAGAATAACATCCTAGATTCTGTGCCCACTCCACTCTCCCATCCCACTAAGCATTTTAAATGGTCCCTGTTCTCCCCTTCCCTGCCCTTGCCTTCCGGCTCATTGTGTAGAAACCAATGACTTCATGAAGTTTCTCCGGAGCCACCTGCATCCTGCTGCTCTGAAATCACTTCCTGCCTGAGGTGTGGAGGCGGCAGGGAGAAACCAGAAAGCCACTAATAATATCTGGAAGCTGGGGGATGCATCTGTGCTGGGACACGTGTCCTAGTTAGGGCACACCACCACCAAAGAAAGTGGATAGTACTTGTGTCCCAAATGGACCACAGGGGCCGGAGGTGGCAGTGAAGAGGCTCCGTGGTTACAGCTAACATGCCAACTCCACCCTCTCCCAGCAGTGATATCTTGGAGTTGATCCAGTATCCAGTGTGTGTGTCTCTCCCACCCCTTCCCATGTCCTGTGTGCATCTTGGGTCATATCTCACTCTGACCCATGCGCAGAGGTCAGTCATTCTGAGGTGATCTCTTCTTGGGCCTTAAATTCCTCATCTGTGAAAAAGTTAGCACTCTGCAGTGCCCTCCAACATTTACAGTTTGGGGTTGCGTTTCTCAATCTTCTAAAACCTATGACCTGGATTAGATTTTAGAAAAAATAAAAACGAACAAGAAAAACTTCCTTCACCTCCCATCACAGCTATTGCCCTACTGAAAATAAGGCCAGCTAATATTACTTATCTCCTGCTATGTGGCAGGCCCTATACTAAGTATTTAGTGCATAAGCTTTCTAATTTATGCCCCCAGCAGCCTTAAAAAGCAGATAAATAATTATTCCCAGTTTACAGATGGGGAAACCAACTGAGAGGCTCAGTATCCTGACCAAGTTAATAAGTGATGAAATCAAAATTGGAACTATGATCTGATTTAAACACTGTGCTCTTAACCACTGTGTTACATGGCCACACTGAATTCTAGATCTTTGGCATATCCCCCACCAGCCACCATTTTAACTCCACTTACAAAATACAGTTGGCGGGGCCAGCAAGGGGAATGATGGTTAAAGTGCTGGACTACCATATGTCCAACCATGGTTCGAGTCCCAGACCTGGAAACTTGAAAATCACACCAGGCACACGTGCATGTGTGCCCAAAATCCCAGGAGGAGACTGAACAAGAAAGGATTGTGACGTGGCCACCCCCCTTATGGGGTGATTTCTCACTTTTCCTCTGCCTCTCTGTCTCTCTATGGCAAAAACCTGAAAGGAAAAAATATATATGGCTCTCCATACCCACTTGTTCTATACCTGTGGATTCAACCAATTTTGAAAATCATATCTGGGGAAAAGCAATAAAAAAATATAGTAGCGGAGACCAGCAGGTGCCATGGTGGTTAAGGCAGTGGACACTCCCACATGGCTGACCACAGTTTGAATCCTGGACCTGGTAGCTTGCTTTCTCACTTCCTCTTTCTTTCTGTGTGTCTTTCTCTAGTCAAATTAAAATAAATGAATGAATAAATAAAATTAAATAATTCTTTTTTTAAACTAAGCAGTAAAATTAATATAAATAGGAAATACAACATAGCTATTTCTTAGCATTTATATTTTATTAGGAATTGTAAGTAACTCTGAGATGGCTTAAAGCATATGGGAGAATGTATGTAAGTTATGTGCAAATACTGCACTTTTATATCAGGGACTTGAGCATCCTTGGATTCTGGTATCTGAGGGGTGATCCTGGAACCAATTTTCTGTAAAAAATCGCACCAGGCACACGTGCGTGTGTGCCCAAAATCCCAGGAGGAGACTGAACAAGAAAGGATTGTGACGTGGCCACCCCCCTTATGGGGTGATTTCTCACTTTTCCTCTGCCTCTCTGTCTCTCTATGGCAAAAACCTGAAAGGAAAAAATATATATGGCTCTCCATACCCACTTGTTCTATACCTGTGGATTCAACCAATTTTGAAAATCATATCTGGGGAAAAGCAATAAAAAAATATAGTAGCGGAGACCAGCAGGTGCCATGGTGGTTAAGGCAGTGGACACTCCCACATGGCTGACCACAGTTTGAATCCTGGACCTGGTAGCCTGCTTTCTCACTTTCTCTTTCTTTCTGTGTGTCTTTCTCTAGTCAAATTAAAATAAATGAATGAATAAATAAAATTAAATAATTCTTTTTTTAAACTAAGCAGTAAAATTAATATAAATAGGAAATACAACATAGCTATTTCTTAGCATTTATATTTTATTAGGAATTGTAAGTAACTCTGAGATGGCTTAAAGCATATGGGAGAATGTATGTAAGTTATGTGCAAATACTGCACTTTTATATCAGGGACTTGAGCATCCTTGGATTCTGGTATCTGAGGGGTGATCCTGGAACCAATTTTCTGTGGATACCAAGGCACAACTGTGTGTGTGTAGTGTTTTGGGGGTATGGTGATTTGTGTTCCCTACATATGAAATTTTAAGGCTCAACATGATTTTTTCTTTAATCAGGTTTTTGCCACAGGGCATATGCACTTGCCAGAGAGAGAAACTCAGAGAGGGAAAGTGAGAAATCATCCCTCAGGGGGACGACCACATCACAGTACCTTCCCCTCCATTCTCCTCTCTGGATTTTGGGCATGCATGAACACACATGCTCAGTGTGATTTCAAGCTGCTGGGTCCAGGACTTGAACTGCAGTTGGCCGTGTGGGAGTCCAACACCTTAACCATCACGCCACCCGCTGGCGCTCAACATGCTTTTATTTTTTATAATTATTTTATTTAACTTTATTTATTTTTAATTTGACTAGAGAGGGACAGAGTGAGAGAAAGAGAGAGAGGGGGGAAAGTGAGATAACAAGCTGCTAGGGACTCGAACTGTGGTCAGCCACGTGGGAGTCCAGCACCCTTAACAACCACACCACCTGCCAGTCCCTCAACATGCTTTTTAAAACAACATGGCCACCCTCCTCAGCCTCCTTTCCTCCTTGTCTCTTTCCCCACGGGTCTGGAAATGAACCTTCTAGTGGCGTCAGGCACTCCCCCAGAACACTCCGCGTGCATGTGTTCATAATGTGCCCAAAATCCAGAAAGAGAAGGGATATATTTCGTTTGAATCATAAACCCTCACCTTGCCTGCACATGGCCTTGAAATTCCTGAGCCCCTCATTAAGTGATTACTTTTCGTCTGCAGAACCCAACACCAACCCTCACGTAAGGGTGTTGGTGCTGAAATGGACCAGTTTGCCCTAAAGGTGAGCGGGGACAGAAACACTCCCACCCTGCAGGTTCCTGCATCACGTGGGACCCCATCTAGCCCAGCCTCCTAAGGCCCCCTCTTTACGCATGCGCCCTACTCACTGCCCCTTGTGCAGACACCAATCTGGAGCCCGCCCAGCTCTTCTGACTCCGCCCCCTGATCGAGGTCTCACGTCCTCATTGGCGAGTTACAGAGCTTGGCCAGGTACGAACACTCCACTGATAAAATACTTGATCCGTACCGCGACCCTTGCGCGGAAGGGGTGTGCCCAAACCCAGTTCCGCCCCCTGGCTCCTAATCAAACACCGGCCGGCTCGGATCCCTTGGGCTCAAACTCAGGCCTTGACTATCAGCTCCAGGACCGCGGAGCCACGCCCCCGGGCCGGCCCGGGCCCGCGCTGGCCTGGCCACCCTTCCTATATCGCCCACTTTGGGAAAAGGCGCAGGCGCCTCGTCGGCAGCTTCGTCTTTATTAGCAGAGCCCAGCTCCTGCTGGGACTCAGCAGCTGCAGCGCCGTTATTGCCCCGATGGCGCTCAGGGCCGAGCCCCCTGATGGGGGCTGGGGATGGATGGTGGTGCTCGCAGCGTTCTTCCAGTCGGCTCTGGTGTTCGGGGTGCTCCGTTCCTTCGGCGTCTTCTTCGTGGAATTTGTGGCGGTGTTTGAGGAGCCGGCAGCGCGCGTCTCCTGGATCGCCTCCATAGGAATCGCGGTGCAGCAGTTTGGGAGTGAGTGCTGCGCCTGGGTCCGAATTTGGCCCACGGAAAGGAGAGGGGATACAGGGACTAGAAACTGGGAGGCGGGGGGAATCGGAGGAATGTTGGAGGACTATTGAGATCTTCTCGCAGAACTCCTTCCACTTCCCCAGGCCCAGTGGGCAGCGCCCTGAGCACGAAGTTCGGGCCCAGGCCCGTGGTGATGACTGGGGGCATCTTGGCTGCGCTGGGAATGCTGCTTGCCTCCTTTGCTACCTCCTTGACCCAACTGTACCTGAGTATTGGGCTGCTCTCAGGTGAGACCCGGAGCAGGGGGGAAAGGCCTACGCCTTTGGCTGCTGGACTTTGCCTTTCCGCTCTTTCCAAAAGGCTTAGAAAGAAGCTGAGGGAAAGTTTGGCTAGCACTTTTGCCAGGAAGAGAGCTCTTAAGACATGATTAAGATGATACACATGGTGGAAGTATTAGGAAGTTCAAGGATGAAGAAACCAGAATATGTAAACGCAGGACTAGCGGGACTGGATGTGTAGAAGTAAGAATTACTATAAAATTGGGTTGAGGGGACCAGCAGTTAGCGTAATGGCTATGTCGCTGGACTCCCACGTAGTCGACCGCAGTATGCGACCCGGACCCGGTGGCTTAAACTCGTGCTGGGCGCATGTGCATGCGTGCCCAAGATCCCGAAAGGAGAATGGAGGAGAGGGGATTGCGGCGTGACCATCCCTCCTGGGGGGTGATTTCTCGCTTTCTGTCTCTCTGTCTCTCTCCGTCTGTCTGGCGAGCACACGCGCCCTATAGCGAAAACCTCTCAAAAAAAAAATTGGGTTGGGTAGTTTGTGAAATAATCATTATCCTATGTATAGCTGAAGAAAGGTTTTTAAAGCTTATGCCAAGGGCCAGCAGGTGGAGGTTAAGGCACCGGATCTCACATAGCCAGCTTTGTGGTTAGTCCTGAACCTGGCAGCTTGAGAATCACTCCAGGCACACATGCATTCATGCCCAAAAGCTCAAGAGCAGAGTGGAGGAAAAGAGATTGTGGAGTGGCCATTCTCCCTAGGGGATGGGGTGATTTCTCACTTTCCCTCTCTCTCACTCTGGCGAGTGCATGTGGCCTATAGCAAAAGCTTTTTTTAAAAAATTATTTTAGAAGCTTATTCAACTTGGCAAGTTGAATTATAGAGCCTAGGTCCAACTCCCAAGTTCTGCACTACTTTATATATAGCGTCTCTAATCTTCCACAATCCCATAAAGTGTATTACCCCCATTTTACAGATGAGGAGATTGAGGCTGGGACAGTTAATAAAACACACAAGGTCACACCGCTAGAAAGTGTCCAGTTCAGGAACTACTGGGGTGTCTCGAGCTCTCTAAGTATCCCCAACCCCTGTTTCTCTTTCTTTTTTTTTTTTTTTTTTCTTTTGACAGGCTCTGGCTGGGCCTTGACCTTTACTCCGACTCTGGCCTGCCTGTCGCGTTACTTCTCTCGCCGGCGATCTCTGGCCACAGGACTGGCACTGACAGGCGTGGGCCTCTCCTCCTTTGCATTCGCCCCCCTCTTCCAGTTGCTGCTCAGCCACTACGCCTGGCGGGGGGCCCTCCTGTTAGTGTCTGCCCTCTCCCTCCACCTGGTGGCCTGCGGTGCCCTCCTCCGCCCACTTTCCCTTGCTGAGGACCCTGCCACAGGTGGCCCCAGGGCCCAAGTCACCTCCCTTCTCCAACATGGTCCCTTCCTTCGTTACACTGTTGCCCTCACCCTCATCAACACTGGCTACTTCATTCCCTACGTCCACCTGGTGGCCCATCTCCAAGACCTGAGTTGGGACCCACTGCCTGCTGCCTTTCTACTCTCAGTGGCTGCCATGTCTGACCTCGTGGGGCGCGTAGCCTCCGGCTGGCTGGGAGATACCATCCCAGGGCCCGTGGCACGACTCCTGATGCTCTGGACCACCTTGACCGGAATATCACTAGCCCTGTTCCCTGTGGCTCGGGCGCCTACAGCCCTGGTGGTCCTAGCTGTGGTCTACGGCTTCACATCAGGGGCCCTGACTCCAGTGGCCTTCTCTGTGCTGCCTGAACTGGTGGGAACTGGAAGGATTTACTGTGCCCTGGGACTGGTGCAAATGGTAGAGAGCATCGGAGGGCTACTGGGGGCTCCTCTGTCAGGTAAGAGAATGGAGTTCCCAGGTGGGCCACAGCAGCCACATTGCACAGATCGGGGGAGGGAACTATTCCCATTATGGTGTATGTGAATATTGTCCTTTGGTGTAATACAATATGGCCACTCATAGCAGCCCTGAAATGGGTCCATGGGACAAAAACCTTAGGGCTGGGAATGTCTGTGTGGAAAGACAAAGAGAAACTAAGTGGAATCCTTGGCAGGGTGCCAACAGCTTGAATTTTTCAGAGGAAAATCTGGCCCGATAAGAGCCTTCTACAGTTACCCGTTTCCCTTGGCCTACTGGGTCCCAGCCCAGGTGTCTGAGACAGCCGGTCAAAGTTCTCCAGGCTAAAAATGCCAGAATCTTCAGAATGTTAACATTTTCCTTTTAACTATTAACTGAAGTTGTAGAAGGGCCACCGCTGCCAGATCCCAGGCACACCCGGCACAGGTATGCCTGACTTGACCTGAATCTCCAAATCCCTAAAGGCAGGAGGGTGATTGAAATGATCTTTCAAGACCTTTTGGGAAACCAGAGTTCTTAAGCTAATCCAACCATACCTTGGGAATCCCAATTCCCCCAAGATGGTGGGTCTTTCCTCTACCCAGAAGTGTGTCTGAGCCATCAAACTCAACAAACAGAGCAACCAAATGTATTCTTTTTCTCTCTTGGACCTAGGCTACCTCCGGGATGTGACAGGCAACTACACAGCTTCTTTTGTGGTGGCTGGGGCCTTCCTTCTTGCAGGGAGTGGAGTTCTCATCACCCTGCCACACTTCTTCTGTGTCTCAGCTCCTACCTCCAGGCCCCAGGACCTAGTGAAAGAGGCACTGGATACCAAAGTCCCCCTGCCCCTGGAGGGGTTAGGAGAGGACTGAACTCCATGAACAGGCAGTCAGGCCCAGAAAGCAGAGCTCCAGGTCTCCTGTCCCATCTTGGCATCCACAGAACCACAGTGCCTTAAAATTCTTGATCTGCCTCCCCCAGAGCAGGCCTCGGACCAGCTGCGACGTGTGTGTGCGACGTGTGTGCCAACATTTATGTTTCTCTGAGAACTCTTACTTCTTTTCCACTCCCCCAACCTTTTCTGGAGGATCCAGGAATTCCTGCTCCACTGACCAATGAATCCACTGTGGAAATCAAAGACCAGGAAAGAGACTGACTGTGTTTTACATGTGATCTCTAGGGTTGCCGCCTGTGTTTCTACTTGGAAGATACATGTTCAGGAAACAAGGATGTCTCTTTGAGATAAACCTGACTAAGAAAACTGGATAATCATAATCTCACGCAGAGCTGAGGCCATAAACTCGGGTGGACTGGGAATGGAGGGGAGGTGTTCAGGAGCTCTGATTACCCAGAGTTGTTTGTTTTTCATTTGCTATAGGGCATGTGCTCACCAGAGAGAGACAGAGACAGAGAGAGAAAGTGAGAAAACACCCTCGAGGGGTAGGAGTGGGGGGTGGGGGAGGGACTGAACGGCCATGCCCAGTCCCATCACCATTCTCTCGGATTTGGGGCACACCAGGCATGTTTCTCACGCTGCCAGGTCCAGAATGTAAACCATAAGGTCAGCCACGTGAGATCCAGCCACCTGAACCACACCACCACCAGCTGGCTCACTGACGCAGAAGACTTTAATCCTGGACTCTGCTCTCTGGGCCATGGTTCCTCCCTCTCACTCACTCCCCTCCCTCTCCCCTGCTATCCCTGTGACTTAGAACAGAAATGGGAGACCAGCAGTTAGCGTAATGGCTATGTCGCTGGACTCTCATGTAGTCGACTGTGGTTTGAGTCCCCGTGGCCTAAACTCACACTGGGCACGTGTGCGTGCATGCCCAAGATCCCAAGAGAAGAATGGAGGAGAAGGGATTGTGGCATGGCCATCCCCCCTGGGGGGGTGATTTCTTGCTCTCTGTGTGTGTGTGTGTGTGTCTGGCAAGCGCATGTGCCCTATAGCAAAAAAAAAAAAGAAAAGAAAAATAAAGGAAAGGGAAAGATGGTGAAGGCAAGGGGGGACTTGGGAGGAGGAGATAGCTCACGGAACTGAAGTCTGGGCCTGAGATTCTTGTGCTTCCCTCAGGCAAAAAGAAGATTC